ACTACTACTACTACTACTACGACCACGACTGCGACTACGCGACGACGACTACTACTACAACTACTACGACTACCACTACTATCACTACTACTAGTACTGGTACTGCTAGTAGTACTACTGCTACTGCTACTACTACTACTACTACTACTACTACTACTACTGCTGCGACATAAAGTGACCATGCATAGAGTCATAGAGTCACGTTGAAACCACAGTAATCAGGGATGTCTATATAGTGAGGTTCCGGAGCTGGGAAAGGAAGACTTCTGCGTCATGTTGGACTATACTCTAAACCCGCTAAACCTGAACATTAGTGTTCATAGAGTGAACTACATCAAGTCAAGTGCGTGGTACATAGATGACTCCATGACTCTATGACTCTTTCTCACTCTGACGCTATGACTCTATAACACTATGACTCTATGATTCTGTCTCACTGTGACTCTATGCCTCTATATGACTCTATGACTCTTTGAACTATGACTTGTGCTTGACATGTACTCGACTCTATTTCTCGATGACTCTATGAACTATGACTTGTACGACTCTTGACTGTATGTGACACTCCGACTCTGTGACTCCGTGCTTTTGACTCGGTGACTCTATGACCCTATACACTGGATTCTATGACGTAGCGTAACACTCTTCGCTGATGATGCTTTCGGGCCAATTGTCTTCTAGTTTTTCGCGCCTTTCTACGACAGCGAAGAAAGTCCCGAGTCAGCCTACTGTGTGCGGGGCCGTCTGGCACCCCGCGTTGCGCGCTCAGAGTCGACTAGGCGCCGGGGGCTGGTGGCCCGCCAGGAGCTCCCCGAGTGGGGGTTCCAGTCCGTTGGGTCACCAGGCCCCGCGATGGGTAGCTCGAGCAATGAGCACGCATGCGCGCGTAGGGCGGCGAACGATGCAAGCGCCGTCCAGCGGTGCGTCATGGCTCGCTGCGCTCCGACCGCACACCACGGCGCCGACGGCGCCCTTTGGCGGGCCCGCGCCTTCGCGAGCAGTCGCAAGAAGGTGAGCGTGTTCGGGCTGATGCGCCCTCCGATTTTGACGCCGAACACGACCAGTCGGCAGCGCCGGGCTTGTCTCAGTTCAGGGTAAGTCCGGCGTTTGCGGTCGACTGCTTGTGCCAAGGCGAGGCCCGGTTGCTGGTCAGCCCGCGGGCGGGGCTGGCCATCCCGGCGGACCGGGCTTACAAGGGTTGCGTCAACGGCGACTTGGGCGCCCTGCCATAGGGGGAGGCTGTTGGCGACCACCTCGATGCGGCGTCCGTCGCTCGTGGGCACGTCGAGGTTGAGGTCTCCGAGGGCGACGCGGGCACCGCCTCCCTGCAGATGCGAGCCGCTGCCCGCTCCAAGGGGCCAGCTCGTCGCGCCAGGACACCCACCTGTGCGCAGGCCGACCGGTGGTCGCCGTATGCGTCCACGAGTCCCCCGCAAGCGCAGCGTTCGAGGCGAGCGGGAGGGGCAGGCGGAGTCTGCGGAGCAGCATCACTCGGAACTCCGCGTCCGGTACTCGGGTGTCGGCGCTCATAGGGAAGGCCGTGAAGGCACAGCTCGCGGCATCGCCACCTTGCGACAGCAGCAGCGCTCGGGACGCAGGGTCAGCCAACGCTTGGCTGTCGAAGCGCCCGCCTATACCTCGAGTCCGAAGACCACCAAGCCAAGCGACAACGTCCGTGCCCGCCTGGCTGGAGCTCGGGGTACGTGCGGAGCTTGCGCGTCTTGGCTTGTTGAAATGCCAGCGCTGGACCTGGGTCGCGCGCGCGCCCGTCGCGCTGGACGGGGCTGACCAACGTCGTGTCAACCGCGATTTGGGCCCCGCGCCACAGCGGCGGCAGGCCGTTTGCGACGACCTCAATCCGCCGACCATCAATGGCAGGGTAGTACTACTACTACTACTACTACTACTACTACTACTACTACTACTACTACTACTACTACTACTACTACTACTACTACTACTACTACTACTACTACTAATGTAAGAGTGGTTTTATTAAACCGGGTGACAATTAAAAATATTCCGCGGCCCAGAATTTCCGGGCGCAAGAGGAGTTTAAAGGCAAGGGCAGATTTGGCCAAACAACTGATCATAATTTTCCAGTCGCAATAATAAACGGGGTGACAATTAAAATATTCGGGCTCAGAAATCCCCAAAATTCTACAGACGAGGCTACGTATTTAGCAGAGACTCAAACAAAGAGGACCCTAAACCCAGCCAGCAGAGTGCAAATCGGCACAGACGACAATGAACTAAAAGCTCGCAGAGTGCAGTTCCAGACTGTTTCACTCCACCCCTCGGCAGATCCAATGGCATCCAGAGAGCTGTGAAACAGAAGAATTCAGGCTGCCTTAGGTGGCAGACCCAGCTCCAGACGCAGTCTGTTCAGCAGATACCGCTCCAGCTTCGCAGGATCACAGTCCAGACAACCACTTTGCCAGTGGCATCTTGAACAGACGCCCAGACCTGTCAGACGGACAGTCTCGATCCGAGACTTGTCCTCCTCAGACAGATCAGAGGCGTCAGATTCTGAAGCTTGAGAACAGAGGCAGCGTCCTTGCCAGACTTCGCAGCCAGCTTCTCAGGATCCGGTTGGCCTTCAGAGTCTTCTCCAGATCCTTCTCCTTGCCCAGAAGCTCCTTGTCCAGCTTAGACTGCTCGCCAGACAGCTGCGCCAGAAAGCCTTTCAGCTCAGACATGAGCTCCAGAACCAGCTTCCCGCGAGACCCACGAGCACAGGGTCCTTCCAGAAGCAGGCCCGAGCAGATCGAGAGCATGTTGGCCAGAACCCAGAAGCCGCACTCGTCAGACTTCTGGGTGCCAGAGGAGCTTCTCTCTGGCAGAGTCTCTGCCGGCAGAAGCAGAGACAGAAGCCTGGCAGCGTTCACAGAGCACTCCTCGTGCTTCTCAGACAGGCTGTCCAGGTACTTCACAGAGAAGCTTTCCGAGAGGTCTTCCCGCTGCAGGACCAGAAGGGTCCAGTGGTTCGGCGAGTGCCCCCAGACAGGCACGAACAGCAGCTTGTTCTCAGAACGAAGTCTGTCCAGAGCAGTCTGCAGAAGCTCGGGGCGGTCGTGGTCTTCGGCGAGGAGCTGCCCAGAGAGCTTCGGGTCCACCATGCAGATCTTGTTCTCCAGGAACCAGTTCTCGTCGGAGTCGCTCAGATTGTACCGCAGAAGTTCCCAGCCGTACCGAAGATGCTGGTCCAGAAGCATCTGCGGGTAAGACTTCTTGAACTTCAGCAGTTCCACAGGCTGTGGAGCAAAGAACCCACCAGAAGCCTCCAAAAAGAGGCTAGAGCCACCGCAAGCTCGCAAAATGCTTTGCTTCAGATCCCTCTTCAGGCGCATGTTCTTCCACTTCTTCGGAGTCTGCCACAGTGGATCCACCTCGCAGACCTCCTTGTCAGAGAGGATCACGGTGGCACAGCCATCCCCTACACCTGAGCAGACAATGAAACAGAAACTGTCTTAATTATTGAAGAAAATAAATGCGACTCAGTGGCCAAGCAGAGACACCTGGTTCGTCAGAAGGTTGTGCATAGAGCACTTGCCAGACTTGCCACAGGTGTGGTGCTCTCGCAGAATCCTGCAGACTCGGCCGTAGAGAGGGCCCTTCGTTGCCTCCTTCAGCTCAGAGGCCTTCTCAGAGACGGGGTCAGCAGGAGCAGGGCCAGGCACCAAAGCAGAGTCGCCGGAGGGCTTGTCGTCCAGAGCCTTGGCCTTCGCCAGGGCCTTCGCAGCGTGGGCCAGGGCCGTCTTTTTCTTCTGCTTCAAAACGGCCTTCTTCACGACAGAGGGCTTCTTCTCAGAGGCTCTCGACACCAGACGTTGCAAAGCTTGCTGTCGGGACATCTGTGTCAGACGATGCCTCATGGCTTCCAGAAGCTTTCCTCGAAGCTTCCGCTTGGCCAGAGTGATCATCTGCTTCACGTCTCGCTTGACAGCTTTCTTCTGCAGAATGTCTTTGTCCGCAGAGAGCTGCTTCTGCCAGGCTGCACGTTGCAGGTCCAGAGAAAGTGTCAGGACGCCAGATTCGATGCAGGGGAGCTGCAGATCCAGTGGCATCTCGTGCACGTTCAGAAGGGCCTCGGAGACCTGGCTTTCCAGAGCCTCGTCCTGCGAGTCCGACTGGTGGTAGCTCCATTCCACCAGATCCGCCACGACTTTGGCTCCGTGCAGAGCAGACCAGTCCGGCTGGGCTGGAATGCCAGATGCATCCAGCCAGGAGTAGCGGTCCTTCAGCCAGGCTGGCTTCGTCCTTGCAGAACCTCGGCTGCCAACATGTCGAGGATAAAAAAAGCTAGAGATTACTTGAAGCTGGAAAAATAGAGGAGAGCAGAGCGGCCCATGGAGGCGCCGCAGCAGTCTTCGTCTTTCAGAGGCACCAGAGTCTGCTTGGAGAAGTCCGGTCTGTAAGCCAGCAGACCGTTGCGGCGAAGACCAGACACGATCCAGTCTTTGGAGGCCTGTCTCTCAGACATCTTCGTCTGAGCTTGCACCACAGCCGTCGCCATGTCCAGATGGCTCGCTCGCCAGAACTCCTTCCCGCCAGCTGCCAGCAGAGCAGTCTGACCGGCATGCCTGCAGGCACGTATGGTTTAGGACAGTGTAATTAAACCGGACATCAGAGAAGGGAAGCAAAAACAAAATGATTAGAGCAGCCTCAGGTCGTCCATGGCAGACCTTGCCAGACTTTTGAAAGATCTGGCATAGTCTGTGTCAGTCAGTTGCAGACTCGCAGTCAGTTTCGGTCCAATGACCGTCTGCAGACTCTGCGAGTAGAACAGAGACTCTGCCCCAGAGACAGACCAGGCCGCCGCGAAGCAGTCGCGGACATGGACAGAGGCAGGTGCCAGAGCAGCCAGCTCCGCGAAGATGATGCCATCCACATTCGCAGAGGGCTGGCTCATCAGACTGATCTGGCGAAACAGAGAAGGATCCTTGTCCCGAGCCTGCCTCCAGCCACGGAGCAGATTGCCAGCAGAAGAGCCTGCTTTGCGGCAGATCACCTTGCCAGAGAACTCAAGCGTCTCGTCTCGCAGAAATCGACCAGAGCTGTCGATGTTGTTCAGACGAGCGTGAGAGCCGTGCACCACCAGAAGACCAGGCAGAACTTGCCCGCTCAAACCAGACTCGCCCTCCAGAGCAGGGTCTTTGCAGAGGCCGTACAGCGCTTGCCTGGCCTCGTAGGTGACACGGTAGCGCACAGAGTCCGCGTCCAGAAAGGCCCTCTTCTGCCTCTGACCAGAAACACGGCCAGCTTCAGCACAGCCTGCAGCAGAGGTGCCACCAGATCGCCAGACTTCACCTGGTCAGAGGAGGACAGATGGTGATTCTTCAGAGCCTCTCGCAGATGCTGCTGGGGCAGAGGGTTGTGCTCCCACTCAGCAAAGAGCTCTCGCTCGCTGCCAGACTTTATCCACAGAGGGATTTGGTCGGAGCAGATCACGACCAAATCAGAGACATGCTCTCTGAACTCAGAGGGCTTGGCAACCCTGGTCGCCAGATCCTCCAGAGGTGCGAAGCAGGCTGTCCACAGAGTGCGGTCCAGACTCTGGTAAGTGAGCTTCGCAGAGACCATCTCCTCAGACTCAGACAGCTTCGTCTTCAGATCCGGCTGCAGATTCTTGGCACCGACATCCAGCAACAGCTGCCTCAGACGGTTCTTGCCAGAATCTTTCGCAGCAGACTGCAGCTGCTTCTCGCCTTCAGAGATCTTTTGATCCAGACGAGCCCGCTCGAAGGAGTCTGCAGAGGCACTCTTCGCAGACTTGAGCTTCAGAAGCTCCTTGCTCACCAGAAGCTGCCACTGCGACAGCAGATGCCGCTTCTTCACAGAGTGCCCGTAAGCACGAGACTCCTCGAACCAGTTCCGCAGAGCGGTCTTCACGGCAGAAAACTCTGTCTTGCGGCCAGCTCCTGTCAGACGGAAGCCTTGCCCACTTTTTCTGGCAGTAACCTTCGCACGGCCCTTACCAGACCTGGCAGAGAGGTGCTTGCCAGGGAGCACAGAAAAGTTCCGCTCAGACTGTTGCAAGAGAACGTTTTCTCTTCTAGCCCAGAGCTTCTTCACGTACTTCTTGTCCAGACCAAGTTTCTGGCTCATGCTTGCAGCGAAGTCCTGCTCAGAACTAGAGCCAGGCATCTCTGTCTTCATCTGCTTCAGAACACGGGCTTGCACTGCCAGAGGCATCTCTGCAGAGCGCTTCTTAGAAGGAGCTCCAGGCAGATTCTTTGGTCTGCCAGTGTTCTTCTTCTTCGCGTAGCGTCGCTGAGCTTCCAGACGAGCTTCTTCGTCAGTCTGTTCTACAACAGACTCTCTTGCCACTTCTGCCAGAATTTGCTTCATGGCAGCGGACAGTGGCCTGCCCTTGGGCTGAGCTTCCTTCTCCAGAGGAGGCTTCTCTGCTAGAGGGTGCTCGGGCTTCCAGAAGTGCAGCAATCTCTTCTGCTTTCCAGAACCTGCTGCGGTTGAATCAAGAAACAAGAACGCTTGTCACTTGCATGAATTCATATCAGTAAATAGACAGTCATTATGTCAACTGGCAAAGACGTGATGTTAGTAAAAAGACAGAGGCTTTGGTATTCGAAAGCTGCAGGCTTTGGCAAGAAGCCAGGGACTCCGGATTCCAGGAACTGCAGCAGCTAAACTTGAGGTCGGTTCCTTATTCCAATTCTATATAAACGTAGCCATTTCACAAAGCCGGCAAGGGTAACCCTTTGCAGCCCTTCTTTTGGCAATTATAAAAGGGGTGGCAATAATAAACTCATCCGGGGGAGGGGCTCCCGATGGGAAGCCTTGCTTTTGGGAAAGCTATGAAGCCAGTGGCTTTGGACAAGAAGCCACAGGCTTTGGTATTCGAGAGCTGCAGGCTTTGGCAAGAAGCCAGGGACTCCGGATTCCAGGAACTGCAGTAGCTAAACTTGAGGTCGGTTCCTTATTCCAATTCTATATAAACGGAGCCATTTCACAAAGCCGGCAAGGGTAACCCTTTGCAGCCCTTCTTCTGGCAATTATAAACGGGGTGGCAATAATAAACTTTTCCGGGGGAGGGGCTCCCGATGGGAAGCCTTGCTTTTGGGAAAGCTATGAAGCCAGTGGCTTTGGACAAGAAGCCAGAGGCTTTGGTATTCGAAAGCTGCAGGCTTTGGCAAGAAGCCAGGGACTCCGGATTCCAGGAACTGCAGCAGCTAAACTTCAGAACGAATTACATAATCAGTCTTTGCCAGAAGCAACATGGAATGACAGAAGCAGCTCGCCTGAAGAAGGCTGTGAGGTAGAACTCTCTGCAGTCGCCAGAGCTTGCTCCGACAAGCTTCCTTCAGAAGCTGCCACAAGCTGCTCAGACACGTCCTCGCTGGACACCAGAGCAGCAGAAGAAGCGGCCACACCACCGCCGCCATCTTCCTCATCAGAGGAGATCGCCACAGACATTGCTGGGCAGATCTACTAGCGAAGCCAAAATGGCATGCCTGCAGATGCATGGACAATCAGAAAGCTTCTTCCTAGGCTCTTCTCAGACAATGCAGGCAAAGCAGAACCTTGCAGAACAGATGCTCGGAATGTTTTCACTCTTCACTGCGAAGCAGATCATCACTCCAGATCTCGGGAAGACCTGGGAGCAGGCGACAGATTCAGAATCTCCCAGACCTCGGCACCTTCGCCAGAGGCTTCGGCAGCAGATTCGCCGTTGGGATCAGAGGTTTCCTCCTCAGAGAACCCTAGATCCCCCAGATCTCGCTCAGTCAGAGCGTGTCCTTGTGGAGGGTTCTTCCAGCAAAGCCAGAGATGATCTCCAACAGACAGATCCCGTCGCCTCACCAGCCAGCCATTCAGAGTCCAGCGCAGACTGATGGCACCGTTCCAGATGAGGCTGATCTGCTCACCAGATGCCAAGCAGAAGAACAGATCCGCTCGATCCAGGCCGAGGAACAGACCAAGCAAGGTCAGAATCTCCGGCTGCTTTCGCAGAAAGGCTTTGCCCAGAGCACAGACCGCCACGTAGGCAGAGACCACCGCAGAGGACACCATGTCAGTGTTCACAGGACCTACAGAACTGACACAGAGCTCGATCCAATCGGGAATCAGAGAGAACAAGAAGCTCGGCTGCAACCGGTGCTTGCAGAGCAACAACACTTCCAGAACGTGTGCAATGACTCTTTTTCAAAAAGTACTGCGAGATCTGTTCTACGGCTCACTTCAGAGCCTTCAAAGCCTCAGAGGCTTTGCGAAGATACTCCTTCTGTTCAGAACTCAGAGTATCCCAGAGATGCAGGAAACAATCCGGTGCATACAGAGATGCCTCCTCGGACGGAAGCACAGTCTCCTCAGAGGCTTCAGACAGAGCTTTCAGTCGCTGCAGCGGCTCAGGCACGGCAGGTGCCAGATCGTCGTTGGGGTTTTGCTTCAGAGACGGCTTCTTGACCGCAGCGGAGGCAGACGGCTTCTTGAGCACCCCAGACTTGCCCATCTTGCCGAAGAGATGCGACCAGAGAGCTTGAGCCAGTACTGAATTACATGTTGCGACAACTATTTGTTGGCAGAATCAGACAGTGGCTGCTTCAACTCAGAGAAAACTTGACAGAAACACTTCGCCCGGATTTTTCACTCCTCTGCGACAGAGGTTCGGTGCGTCTGCAAAAACACAGGTTCGGTGCGTCTGCAAAAACACAGAGCCTGCGGCCAGAACTTCCAGAGCTTCTAAGAAAAAACAGAACCCTTAATTAACTACCGAGATATAGGAACCCTTATCAATTCATTACAACATTGGTTCATCCCTGAGTCATAAAACCCTAAACCTAATTACGTTAGAGGTTTAAGTTTGAAGGTTAAGGGCTTAAGGGCTCAAGGGTTTTAGAAGTTTAAGGGTGGCTTAAATAATTACGGGGTTCGGGGGTTAGGGTTTAAGGTTTGTTCGGGGTGGTTGGAAACCAGAAAAGCTCCAGAGCTCTGGCGCCAGACGTCACGTCTGCTCAGATCGGCTCCTGCACAGAACCAATTAAATAACTAATTATAATTATTCTGAATTATTTATTGATTAATTAATTAATTAACTACGAAAAAACATAACGTAATTATTGTTGTATTTCTCGTGGTGGTGGTGGTGGTGGTGGTGGTGGTGGTGGTGGTGGTGGTGGTGGTGGTGGTGGTGGTGGTGGTGGTGGTGGTGGTGGTGGTGGTGGTGGTGGTGGTGGTGGTGGTGGTGGTGGTGGTGGTGGTGGTGGTGGTGGAGGTGGTGGTGGTGGTGGTGGTGGTGGTGGTGGTGGTGGTGGTGGTGGTGGTGGTGGTGGTGGTGGTGGTGGTGGTGGCGGGGGTGGTGGTGGTGGTGGGGGTTGGTGGTTTCCAAGTACTAACTATGTATAATTAGGCTTTTATTTCTTATTGTTGTTGCTATCCTTATTGTTGTTGCTAGCTTTATTAATTAATTACTTATTACATAATTAATGATTTATTGTTCTTATTATCCTTATTCTCGTTGTTATTCTTAGAGTTATTAATACGAATTATTATTAAATATTGCTATATTATTTAGTTAAACCCTTCACCCCGAGCCCTTAAATAATTAATTATATAACTCCAAGCCCTTAACCCCAAACCCTGAAACCCTTAACCCCAAACCCTGAAACCCTAATTACACAAAACCCCAAACTCTGAAACCCGTAACCTCAAACACTGAAACCCTTAACCCCAAACCCTGAAACCCTTAACCCCAAACTCTGAAACCCTTAACCCCAAACCCTGAACCCTAAACCCCAAACTCTGAAACCCTTAACCCCAAACCCTGAAACCTTTAACCCCAGACTCTGAAACCCTTAACCCCAGACTCTGAAACCCTTAACCCCAAACCCTGAACCCTAAATCCCAAACCCTGAAACCCTGAACCCCAAACCCTAACCCCTCCTTGTACAGATAGATCCAGATCCTTCCAGATCTGCAGCAGATCCTGGGCTTCCAGAACCCTAATTAGACTGGGGTTGGTGTGCACCAGTGGGCGATTCAGATCTGGCCTCGGCCAGATGACCGGATACACCAGCCAAAGCCACAATCTGCTGCATCAGAAGCTCCTGCCAGCAGGAGCAGAAGCCCGAACCACCAACCCCGAACCACCCCCAACCCCAAACCCCACCTTCAGGCACCTGGCATGCGAAGTCCAGAGCTGGGCACCAGATTCGGCCAGAGCCTAGGTAGGAATCCCAAAGCAGAGGCCCAACCCCCTCATTAACCCCTAAACCCCAGACCCAAAAACCTAAACCCTTCTAGGCCAAGCAACGGGCGCATGTAGTCAGACGGGAAGTAGACCTGCAAGGGTTTAGGGCTCCAGGGTTTCAAGGTTTAGGGTTTCAGGGTTAGGGGCTCAGGGTTTAATTAATTAAGCAGAGGATGGGAAGGCCTTCTTGCAGATGTCCTCCCAGATCTGTCCAGAGTTGGGCCCAGATGCGGCTCCACCAGAGCTGGCATAGAAGAATGCCAGATCACGGACATACAGCTGGTGGTTCTTGCAGTCCGACAGATCTCGGTATGCAGATGCAAGCCACCCGCCCCCCCCAGACACAAAAAACAAAGGCCTGGGTGCAACTAAGTATGGAACCAGACAGCCCAATCCCCACAGTCCTCAGAAACCTTCGCCAGATCCACCTTCTTGGCCATGAAGGTGTCCAGACTCAGATCAAAGCGGAATGCCGGCAGATGAAGACTGCAGAACTAATTAGCCGAGCTGCGAGTCCCAGACAAAGGCCACATTCCCGTTCACACGGGCCACATCATCATCCGTGATCTCATCACAGACAATCCTGTACAGAACCTGTCCAGAATGGGTTGTTCCAGAACAGCTATGGTTAATTGATGACAGATGCACCTCGTTCAGTGTCACCAGAACGGACAGGTCAGCAGATGTGGCCCCAGAGCTTCAGCGAGCCAGAGGCAGCCAGATATCTCTCCAGTTCGCCTCTGACCCGAGAGCTCAACACAGACCTGCGGCTCGCATTGGCAGAGTGCAGCCATCCACGCCCATCTTGCCAGACGTCGTAGCGAAGCAGCTCCGTCTGCAGAGCCAGGACGCGGTCTGTGCAGAGCAAGGACAGAGGGCCCCTCTGCCGGTCCAGCGTCTGCAGGGCAGATTAATCATTAGACACATGCAGACACACACAGAAACGAGCGTGCACGGTCATTTTAGGGCCTTCAGAGTCTCCATCAGATCATCGGCAGTGAGCCCTCCAGACGGTGCCTTGGATAAGAGCAGAAGTCACACCCAGAACCCCAAACCCCAGACCCTTTCTCGCAGAAACAGCCAAGTGTCGCCAGGGTTGTTGGCTCCAGATGGTGCCTCAGATAAGAGCAGAAGCACACCCAGAACCCCAAACACAGACCCTTTCTCGCAGATTACAGCCAAGTCTCGCCAGGGTTGCCCGCTCCAGATGGTGCCTCAGATAAGAGCAGAAGTCACAACCAGAACCCCAAAACACAGACCCTTCCTTGCAGATAATCGCCAAGTGTCGCCAGGGTTGGAGGGTCCAGAGGGTGCCTCAGATAAGAGCAGAAATCACACCCAGAAGCCTAAACCCCAGACCCTTGTCGCAGGTAACAGCCAAGTCTCGCCAGGGGCCGGTCCAGATGGTGCCTCAGATAAGAACAGAAAAGTCACACCCAGAACCCCAAACACAGACCCTTTCTCGCAGATTACAGCCAAGTCTCGTCAGGGTTCGACGGTCCAGATGGTGCCTCAGATAAGAGCAGAAGTCACACCCAGAACCCCAAAACACAGACCCTTCCTTGCAGATAATCGCCAAGTCTCGCCAGACAAAGCAGGGGGTCCAGATGCCGGTCCAGAGGGTGCCTCAGATAAGAGCAGAAGTCACACCCAGAACCCCAAACCCCAGACCCTTTCTTGCAGATAATAGCCAAGTCTCGCCAAACTCCGCAAGGGCAGTCTCCTGTTCAGATACTTCCCAGAAACCCAGGCTCAAAGAAACAGTTCGAGAAGCCTCCCCAGCGCCGTTCGCCAGACTCATGTCCACATCAGCGGCAGCCATGGCCTCAGATAGTACGTGGATACTTATTTGTACAGAACCCTAGGCCGGCCAGACTCCTTGCTTCAGTCCAGTGGCGTCAGAGGGAGTTCAGAAGGAAAGCAGAACGGCAGAGGGCACAGAAGCCAGAGTGCTGCGAATGCCAGAGGTTGAGACTTCACGTACTACTAATTACTATTACTACTATTACTACTATTACTACTATTACTACTATTACTACTATTACTACTATTACTACTATTACTACTATTACTACTATTACTACTATTACTACTATTACTACTATTACTACTATTACTACTATTACTACCATTACTACTATTGCTACTATTGCTACTAGTACTACTATTACTACTATTACTACTATTACTACTATTGCTACTATTACTACTATTACTACTATTACTA